CTGCTACTCCTTAACACTCTTATGCCTTTGATATGCCATTTGTTCCCCTATCTGCACCGATTAATTATGCCGGTCATTTACATCTGTCGGTTTTAGACTCAATGATAATTCTAGTGTAGCCAGACAGAGGTTTGCCACGTCGAATTGCCCACACAGGCATTTGCCCCATCTTCGTTTTCCCAGATTCAGACTGTAGGGAATGGTTGTCTCTCCTCTCCGTCTGTAGTGTTCGGTGATGTGATCGGCGCCTTATGTAAAATCCTGTACCTTCTATCTATCTGTTGATTCTGTCTTTAGTGGGGCGCATGTGTGGCGCTAACTACCTCCATCTGGTCGAGAAAACGACTGAATTTAATTCCGTCAACCGGGTGTGTTTACATTAAGATATAAGACTGGCGATCTTCACTCGCGCAGCGCTGCGCCAGTCGTCACAGAGCGAAAACATTACTAGTAGAAGCGTACGGGCGAGTTCCAGGGAGCACTTCTGAGACTGAATATGCGATCGCTGGAACGAGACTTTTATTGATTCGACGTTTTTAATGCTTGTTCGGAACCGTCACCAGAGACAATCGCAGAAATGGCTGCCTTTATTACCCTCTACTATTAACTCTGATGATAGATTAAAAGGGTGTTAAAATGGGCCAACATTCGCACCACCTCCCTCTGAACTCCTCAGTGGAACTCGCCTCGTCAGTTTTATCTCATGAAATGTCAACAGAAACTCGATAATGCGTATTTACCTAAAGCAAATTACCTGGTGGTGTCGTAATACTGTCGTGCAGCCTTATACCGTGGTGCCAGTCAAATCAGGAAGCCGGCTTTTGAATGAGGTGCTATCGGATCACCTACAGAACGCATACACTGTTTAAAAAAAGCATTCTGAACAGGAAATGTGCGTCTGTCAGTTAGGCGGGCTATGAAATAAGTGGTCTCTCGGATCCTATATGTGATAGGCCATGAACAAACGGCCAGTGTTAAGGGATAGACTCCATCGAGCTGTTTCAAATGCCTCGTATAGTGCTATGGAAAATGTCGTCCGCGGATGCCGTTGCTCTTGGTCCGATGGCACGAGCGATAATTCTGAGTCGAACGAGATATGCATTTGGGGACTCGTGAACACTTGGATGCCCGGACGGTGTGGACGTCTGCCGCGTTATCGGAGCCTGGTTCGCAGTTTCCGAGATATAAGTGATCACATCCACTTTGTTACCACAGGGGCGTAAGAACGGATACGGTGTGTCAGTTGTCCTCGGGATGAGAAGTCCATGCATGGCCAACTTTAAAATAATATACCGATCAGCCAGTTTACGAGAGTCTGTCATAACAGACATCCTGGTCGACAAGGATCCTGTTCGCATCTCAAATGATTTTTTGATCTAGTCTGTATCCGCCTGGTTAATTCAGAAGCAGTA